ACACATATAAATAAATCAACTCTATTTATCTAAGTCCAGTCTCTACCGCGGGCAAGATGGCGACCTAAATTACGCTGAGACTCGACCGTGATATGCGTTCATTCCTTACGTTATAAAAAAGAGAGAGAGAATTTATCACAGTGGATTATGGACTAGTGATGAAAGCTTGTGTGTTGGGTTAGGTTAGGTTGGTCGTACGTCTGGCTGCGAAAGGTCAAAACTATCGTACGTGAGTGAGTGTTAAGTAAAGCAGATATGGAGCTGACTGACCCATGTGAGTTTGTGTTTTATGATAGGAATTTTTGTATTTTATTTCATTGTTTTATTCTTGGGTGACTGGTTAGTTTATTGTTGTTGTTGTTATTATCGTTATTATTATTATTATTATTATTATTATTATTATTATTATTATTATTATTATTATTATTATTACTGTTGTTGTTGTTTACTGAAAATTGGCGAAATAATAAACTGGTTAAATAATAAATAAATAAATAAATAAATAACACGTGTACCGGGAAGTTAAATTACCGGGCCAGGTACTAGACTTTAAGGTACTGTACCGGGAACAGACACGATCGAATCGGTAAGACTGGTTGACTTTGACACCCCCCCCCCCAGAGTTAACCGGTTCTAGGGTGTTAACTGGTGTTATAGTACCTAATTTAACCTAACTTAACCTCATTTAACCTGATGTAACTCAGTCTAATCGAACTTCAGCTTACCTAACTTAATCTAACCAAACCTAACTTAATCTAACCTAACCTAACCTCACATACACTTGTCACTGACCTGGTTTTAGCCCTTTCATGCACTGTAATACTTTTACTGTTGCCGCAGACCAAACCAGACCACGGGACCTGTTATTACACAATTCTTATACACTATTTCCCCAGTTGTAATAAGCTCGAGTTGTAATAGGTTCCAATTGTAATAGGCTCCAGTTGTATTTAAATCACCGCAACAAACGCATTTAAATCATCACAACAAACGCATTTAAATCACCACAACAAACGCATTTAAATCACCACAACAAACTTATTTAAATCACAACAATGGTATTTAAATAACCCCAACAATGTTATTTAAATGCCTGAGATTAATAACTCGAACCGTTTAGTCAAGCACATTCTTGTTCTTAAGTTGAGTTAGTTTCCTGTTAAGTCGTAGGCCTTGGTTGACGGGTGGGGGGGGGTGTAGGAGGTGAGGGAGGCGATGGTGGGAGGGAGAACTGGAGGAGGAGAGGGAGAGGGTTGTGGGAGGGGGAACTGGAGGAGAAGGAGGGTTGGTGGGAGGTAGGAGTGGAGGAGGGAGGGTTGTGGGAGGGGAACTGGTGGAGAAGGAGGGTTGGGAGGTAAGAGGAGGAGGAGGGGAACTGGAGGAGGAGAGGGAGAGGGTTGTGGGAGTGGGAACTGGAGGAGAAGGAGGGTTGGTGGGAGGGAGGGTTGTGGAGGGGGATTGGAGGAGGGAGGGGTTGTGGGAGGAACTGGGGAGAAGGAGGGAGGTGGGAGGTAGGGAGGGAGGGTTGTGGGAGGGGGGCTGGAGGAGGGAGGGTTGTGGGGGGGAACTGGAGGATATGGAGGGTTGGTGGGAGGTAGGGGAGGGTTGCGGGAGGGAGGTGTGGAAGGGGAAAGAAAGAGAACTGGAAGGTGTCGAGGAGAGGGGGAGGGAGGAAGGAAAGAAGGGCTGGTAGGAGGAAGGACTGGAGGGAAGGAGATAGGAAACGCTGGAAGGAACCAAGGAGGGAGAGAGGGAGGGAAGGAAGAAGTTTTTGTTGAAGATCTTAAGGTTAAAACATCTAGCAAGCAAGACGTGAGCGACATATGCCTGTTATGGTCTCACCCCCTTGTGTACCGCCTCGCTTGACCTTGTGGTAGCGGAGTGTGGCAAGGTGTGTCGCTTGTCCTCTCTCTCTCTCTCTCTCTCTCTCTCTCTCTCTCTCTCTCTCTCTCTCTCTCTCTCTCTCTCTCTCTCTCTCTCAGGTACAAGACGACTAAACTGGTAGCCCGGAGTTGATGATTGAAAGGTTGAAGGTAATTGATGATCGGGAAGTGAGTGATAGATGAAGAATTGAAGGTTAGAGGTGTACGAAGGACAGAAGAGTGGGTTAGTGGTGGATAGGAGTGAGTGGGATGGTGGGTAGGAATAAGTGGGGGTGGTGGGCAGGAGTGAGTGAGGGTGGTGGACACACACACACACACACACACACACACACACACACACACACACACACTCAAATCAGGACACATTTTCTTTAACTCAAAACCTTCATTTTCCTTGCAAGTATCAAGAAATATATAAAATAATAAAATCACAGAAGTGTAAGTGTGTTTTTCAAGTGTCTTTTATCAAGTGTGTTTCAAGTACATAATTCAAGCTCTTTAATTTCTCTCTAAGATTACTATGGCTGGTGACCTTTTGCCCTCACGCCACTTAGCACTGACCTTCATCGATAAAAGGTCACCAACATGTAACCTAAACTAACCAAATACAACCTAATGTAACCTAACCAAATATAATCTAACCTCATGTTACCTAAATAAACGTTGTATAACTTAACCTAGACGTAACCTAGACGTAACCTAACCTACACCTAACCTAGACGTAACCTAACCTAACCTAGTCCTAACCTAGACGTAACCTAACTTAACCACTGACATATGTACAATAGTTCCTCACAAGATGTCAAGAGCAACCCAAATCACCTCCTCATCATTTTACAACACAACTAAAATATTATCATTATTATTAATATATTTTTTTTGGTCTCCCTTACAGGTGATCTGATTACTGCCACCTGGACGTTAAATGTCAACAATACCACCACCTGGAAAGTATATCAGGTCATTGCGAGGTCATCTGGTGGAGTAATTGTGATGTGAACCCCTTCCCTAACCCACTCCTTCACCCACTCATTCATCCACTCCTTCACCCACTCATTCATCCACTCCTTCACCCACTCCTTCACCCACTCCGTCACCCACTCCTTCACCCACTCCTTCACCCACTCCTTCACCCACTCCTTCATCCACTCCTTCACCCACTCCTTCATCCACTCCTTCATCCACTCCTTCACCCACTGCGTTACCCACTCCGTCACCCAGGATCTACAGAAAGGTATTTGTTCACATGGGTTAACATTTAATAGGTCTCAGTGCTAATAAGGTTTCGTAATAGTTTCCTGTGGTAATTGGTGTCACTGCTAATAAGGATGGAACCTATTAGAACTGGGGGCTATTAGAACCGGGAGCTATTAGAACCGGGAGCTATTAGAACCGGGAGCTATTAGAACTGGGGACTATTTCACCTGGAGTAATTAAGAGCTGTCCTGTTTGGAAATATGACTGGGAGGAGAGAGAGAGAGAGAGGGGGGGGGCTTAAGTGAACGTATAGTAACTGGCATCAAGTGAACGTCTTGAAGTGACCTGACTGGTATGGAGTGAATGTTGTAAAAGTAACTGGTGTTAACTGCAATTTGCCACCTCCCCCCCCCACCCTACCAGTTACCTTGTCCTACCCCTGGGTCACATAACTGTCAGGACTTGTTCAGTTTATCGGTCACGGGTCAACCTAGGTCACCAAGTCCCCAGGTCACCAAGTCTTGTACCCAACTATTCTGCCTTTTACTTTCCAGTCACTTATTGATCAACCGAGGTCATCCAAGGCAGAGAGAGAGAGAGAGAGAGAGTTGATTTTATGTGTGTGTGTGTGTGTGTGTGTGTGTGTGTGTGTGTGTGTGTGTACGTACGTACGTTCTTTACTCCAGTGACTGCAACACGAGAAATACACACTGTATCTAGTTACGGTAGCACGTGGCTAGAGAGAGAGCGTCATCCACACTCTGAATGATTAGAGGTTGTGACACCATGATTCTATTAGCAGATTACACCAGTCATCTTAACTTAACCTAACCTAAATGTTAACTTAACCTAATCCAACATTAACCTACCCTACCCTAACAGTAACCTAACCTGACTTAATCTGCCATAATCTAATTTAACTTTATCTAATTCAACCTCAACCTAACTGAATTTAACATAACCGGATCCCACGTAAAGATTTGACACCTGATGATTCAACACCTTAACTCTGCCTTGGGGGGTTAGGTTAGGTTAAGTTAACATTAGGTGAAATAAACTGGGGTTAGGTTAATCTTCATGGGATCAATTTAACCTAAACTAACTTAATCTAATATAACCAAACTATTTAAGAGTCAAGTTTAATTAATTAGCTAGTTAGTTAGTTAGGTATAGTCATTCGCTCCAGCCAATCAGAGCCTGGCTGACGGTCTCTCTAGTAACTTGTTCATCAAAACCCCCTACAACTGAAGTGCGGAAACAACAATAACAACTACGGTTATAATATTAATTTTAGGTTTTGTGTCATATAATTTATCTTAGTTATGGGAGAATTATGTACAGTTACTGCAAGTTATAGGTTTAGTGGAGAGACTGTGTTAACTATGGCGTCGGAGGTACACTGAGACTCTACCTTAATTGTACAGGTGTATTTAATATGAGTTATAGGGGATAGTTAATTGTTAGGTGTGTGTGTGTGTGTGTGTGTGTGTGTGTGTGTGTGTGTGGTGGACAGGTAAAGGGATATTGCTTACAGGTACCCACACACACACAGGTAACCTTGGGCATTGCTTAGATATTTCTCCATAAGAGAACGACATCCTTAACACAACACAACACAACACTAAACACTCACTATAATCTTTCAATAAACTTAAACAAAAAATGTTAACACGCCGATGAAAGTATATATAGAAAAAAATAAGAAATTCACGTAATTCTTGCAAAAGACACAAACGGCATGAAGCAGCATGAGACGATTATCCCAGATGTGTTAAAATTACCACGATTAGTTTTCAATAAATGGTAATGAATTCAACATTTAGTGATGGTAATGTTAAAGCCATAGTGTGGGTGGTAGTGGGTATGGTCTGGGTATGTTCGTGGGTATAAAAGTGGGTACGGATGTTTGATTATACTCACACAGATACACCTCTCATGTCTTGACGCTTCTTGCGACCGCGGCAGAGTGAGCCTTTGATTCCCGCGACCCTTCCTTATATACCGACCTTCACCACTACTACCACCACCACCACTGCCTACATGTCTCTATCCCTCTCTCCCTCCCTCACTCCCTCACTCTCTCCTTCTTGCCTACCTGATTACATACCCCTCTCTCTTTCTCTACTAGTGTTGGCAGTCTCTCTCTCCCCCCCCCTCTCTCTCACCAAGGAAACACCACCAGAACAGGAAGAATGAGAAGACGTGCAAAAAATAATTAGAAACTGTAATTTTCTTAATCAAAGTCTCAGACAAGATTTGAAAGTGAGGACCAAAAAATATAAGTAAACTTTAGACCCTGACACTCTACCCTAAGCTTATAAGTGGATTTAACAACACTTAACTACTTTAAGTGTATTAGTTCACTTATTAGCAGCGCTCTACTGGAAATAAGCGTCTGGTGGATTTGTCATCTATTTTTTATTTAAATGCCTTATTGTTTACCTGTACTGTCTATGTATAGTCCCCTTCACTATTGCGTTTACAGGGGACTCGTCATATAGCCAAGGTACAGTCCCCTTCACTAGTGCGTTTACAGGGACTCGCCATATAGCCAAGGTACAGTCCGCTTCACTAGTATGTTTACAGGGGACTCGTCATATAGCCAAGGTACAGTCCCCTTCACTAGTGCGTTTACAGGGACTCGCCATATAGCCAAGGTACAGTCCCCTTCACTAGTGTGTTTACAGGGGACTCGTCATATACCCAAGGTACAGTCCCCTTCACTAGTGCGTTTACAGGGACTCGCCATTTAGCCAAGGTACAGTCCCCTTCACTAGTGTTTACAGGGACTTCCACTACCGGTACAGGCTCGTAGTATGCCAAGGTCATAGTATTTACAGTCCCCTTCACTAGTGCGTTTACAGGGACTCGCCATATAGCCAAGGTACAGTCCCTTCACTAGTATGTTTACAGGGGACTCGTCATATAGCCAAGGTACAGTCCCCTTCACTAGTGCGTTTACAGGGACTCGCCATATAGCCAAGGTACAGTCCCCTTCACTAGTGTGTTTACAGGGGACTCGTCATATACCCAAGGTACAGTCCCCTTCACTAGTGCGTTTACAGGGACTCGCCATTTAGCCAAGGTACAGTCCCCTTCACTAGTGTGTTTACAGGGGTTCGTCATATAAACATTCCACAAATCATTATCATTGAGATATTTGTTTTAATATTGTTTTACATTGATTCCATAATATGTTTACTATTGCCAGTTTCCTTCTATCGAATGCAAACAAACACAGGGTCTGCCACACTGCACACAACCTGACGAGCCCCTGTAAACTCACTAGTGAAGGGGACTGTACATTGTTTGTTTACCTGCACTGTCAATTCTTAGCCTGATTGATAACCAAGAAAGCATGGGAGACAGAACCAGCATCAGATACCCTACAAGCAGTGCCATTTACAGATGTGCAAAACTCTCAACCATAGCGCCGTCAAATGTAATTAAATTTGACACAAGTAAGCGAACAGATCCTTTACAACAGCACAAACTTGACCCCCATAATTTTCCCCCATTTATTGCAACTTTCTATGTCTATATGAGTGTTTATCCAGGTGATCACTTCCCTCCATTCTTATTATATTCAGTAACAACTGTTAGCCTAGGAAGTGGTGCATATCTCCTAACCTAACGTGCAGATGGTCGTGACCTTTACCACAAGGTCACTGGTTGTCATGAACAGCCCCTGTCTCTGTTAACTGGGAAGATGTTGACCTTGTGTTGACCTGTGTTGCTCTGACTGACATACCATTAATTCTGATCATGCTAACACTCTGACTGATATATACTGGTCATGCTGACATATAGACATTATTTATCTTATGCTGACGGAGTTATATTCAATTTATGCTGACAGACCGACAGACAGACACAATATGCTAACTTACTGACATTCTTCTTTTAAACTGAGACAGTCATGTACTTATTTTATGTTGACAGGTACACTCATTTTATACTGACTGACATACACTCAAACACTATACTGACTGACATACACTCAAACACTATACTGACTGACATACACTCAAACACTATACTGACTGACAAACACTCAAACACTATACTGACTGACACACTCAAACACTATACTGACTGACAAACACTCAAACACTATACTGACTGACATACACTCAAACACTATACTGACTGACACACTCAAACACTATACTGACTGACAAACACTCAAACACTATACTGACTGACATACACTCAAACACTATACTGACTGACTACAAAACACTATACTGACTGACATAACTCAAACACTATACTGACTGACATACACTCAAACACTATACTGACTGACATACACTCAAACACTATACTGACTGACAAACACTCAAACACTATACTGACTGACATACACTCAAACACTATACTGACTGACAAACACTCAAACACTATACTGACTGACAAACACTCAAACACTATACTGACTGACATACACTCAAACACTATACTGACTGACATACACTCAAACACTATACTGACTGACATACACTCAAACACTATACTGACTGACATACACTCAAACACTATACTGACTGACATACACTCAAACACTATACTGACTGACATACACTCAAACACTATACTGACTGACATACACTCAAACACTATAATGACTGACATACACTCAAACACTATACTGACTGACATACACTCAAACACTATACTGACTGACATACACTCAAACACTATACTGACTGACATACACTCAAACACTATACTGACTGACGAACACTCAAACTTATTTAATACTGATAAACAGATACGTACAGTAATAGATCACTGCACTAACCTGGCAGAGAGAGAGAGAGAGACAGAGAGAGAGAGACACACAGACAGAGAGGGACAGGGAGAGGGAGAGAGAGAGACAGAGAGACAGACAGAGAAGGAGAGAGAGAGAGACAGGGAGAGAGACAGGGACAGAGAGAGACAGACAGACAGACAGACAGACAGACAGACAGACAGACAGACAGACACAGAGAGAGAGAGAGAGAGAGAGAGAGAGAGAGAGAGAGAGAGAGAGAGAGAGAGACCTGACTAGCTCACTCATCAGGTGTGTACAGGTGAAGGTTGTCCACTGGTGTTAAGGCCTTACTTTGATATTTACACTACACCAGCGACAGTTACTCTTAACGTTACTATCTCTCTCTCTCTCTATCTCTCTCTCGGGGTATGGTAGGTTAGGTTAGGTTAAGTGCTAGATACAGTTAATTACCATCACTGGTCAACACAACACCTGAAGACTCGCCAGGTACAGTTATATAGATGCCGATGTCTGAAACTTGATCTTTTTTTCCTCTCAGTCGATATTAAGAGGTAAATGCTTTATTTTTTATTTTTACAGTGAGTGTCGACCTTGTTCAGCCAGTGTGGGGTCTGCCGTGTGTGAGGTAAGTTTAATAAAATAGACTTACAATGTCGCCCTGGAAAAAAACAAAAAACACCCAGATTATAACAGACCAGAGGAGAGGCAAGCCCAGAAGGTGTGTTGGGTACCTGGTCACTTGATTACCTTTAGTGTACTGTATTAACCTGTATTGAGTCTAGAGGCTTTGGTGATGAAGTGGTCAACTGTATACTTGCATTGTATATTTACATGGTGAACTGAGCAGGTCTACATGTGACTAGCTCACTCATCAGGTGTGTACAGGTGGTGAAGGTTGTCCACTGGTGTTAAGGCCTTACTTTGATATTTACCACTACACCATTACTCATCTTCTCTATCTCTCTCTCGGGGTATGGTAGGTTAGGTTAGGTTAAGTGCTAGATACAGTTAATTACCATCACTGGTCAACACAACACCTGAAGACTCGCCAGGTACAGTTATATAGATGCCGATGTCTGAAACTTGATCTTTTTTTCCTCTCAGTCGATATTAAGAGGTAAATGCTTTATTTTTTATTTTTACAGTGAGTGTCGACCTTGTTCAGCCAGTGTGTGGTCTGCCGTGTGTGAGGTAAGTTTAATAAAATAGACTTACAATGTCGCCCTGGAAAAAAACAAAAAACACCCAGATTATAACAGACCAGAGGAGAGGCAAGCCCAGAAGGTGTGTTGGGTACCTGGTCACTTGATTACCTTTAGTGTACTGTATTAACCTGTATTGAGTCTAGAGGCTTTGGTGATGAAGTGGTCAACTGTATACTTGCATTGTATATTTACATGGTGAACTGTATACCTGCATTGTCTACATGTATGCTGAACTGTATACCTGCATTGTCCACATGTATGCTGAACTGTATACCTGCATTGTCTATGTATGTTAAACTGTATACTATACTTGCATTGTCTATATACTGTATATGCTGAACTGTATACCTGCATCGTCCACATGTATGCTGAACTGTATACCTGCATTGTCTACATGAATGCTGAACTGTATACCTTCATTGTCTATTTACATGGTGAAGTGTATACCTGCAGTGTCTATATATGTTGATCTGTGCAGTATACTGTACTTGCTGTATATGCTGATAACTACAAGGAAAGAAGAAAACACGAAGTTCCCAAGCGCTTTCGTGTAATTCACATCTTCAGGGGTGAGTAGAGACTAGAGAGAGAAATACAAACCAAGGTGTATATATACAGAGGAGGGTGAGACCAGGTCCACAATGGTCAGGTATTAGGTAATGACCCTACTAATCTTTAAATAGCACCACCCGACGCCCAACCTGACACGCCCGCCCGACGCCCTCCCAACGCCCGCCCGACGCCCGCCCGACGCCCGCCCTCACCACCAAGACAATAAGATGCCTTTCTCAGCCACAGAAGCTACTTTTTAATATTGTATTTATTAATTTCAGAGGCAGATCCTGGAATATCAAAAGGGGGGGGGGACATGCCGACCACAGCAAGCATAGCGCAGCCAGACGAGAGTGGGTGATGCATCGTAGAAAGTAGACTGTGACTAATTTTTGGTCTCTAAAGTTTAGCTACGCAGTACCGAATCAACGTTAAGCGCGGACTTACTGTACTACCTTTTTTTCCATTTCTTGGTGCTTACTCCACATTAAA